ACCACGGGGGCCCCTGGCCTTGGGGACCCCGAGCCCACCACCACCACGCTGATCGAGCGAGCAGTTACCAAAATGCAAAACGTCGAGCCCTGTGGTACCAGCACGGGAGCCGAGCTGGTGGAGAGGGCCAGTCCCGATAAGGATACGGAGTGCAAGGAGGAACTGCTAAAAGGTTATAGCTCTGAGAGCTTAGAACAGAGCAGCGCCATTCCCGACGCGAAGGACAAGACGCCGGGCAGGCAACGCCGTTTCACCGGCGACTCGGGCCTCGAAGTCTGTGTATGCAACCGGGGCCATCACGACGATGACCTCAAGGAGTTTGACGGGCTCATCGACGATGCTCTGGACGGGCCCCTGGACTTCTGCGACAGCTGCAGCGGCCGCCCCCACGGGGACGAGGAGGAAGGGCTTTTCAGTGCCACGGAAGAGCAGCACCGCGAACACAGCCACCACCACCTGCCCCGGCAGCCGGTGTGTGTGCTCTTGAACACAATAAACGAGCAGGACTCTCCAAACTCTTGTACCAATAGCTCCCCCAGCTAAAGTGGCTGAGCGGAAAGGAGAATCGGGGAGAAAAAAATCAAAGAAGAAAAAGTGGAATAAGAGGATTAAAACTTTAACAGGAGGAAAAGGTGATACAACCTTTTTTAGTTTATTTTTCTTTCTCCCCATCCAATATAATTTGGGGACTAGTCCTCGAAGGCCCGGTGTGTGGGGGACGGGTCACTCTGGGTATTGTTAATCGTGTCCGTCCTGCTCTGTGGGGCAGGGACTGGTGTTTCTCGGTGAGAGCTTGTAACAAATGGAATTTTCCCAATGGTAATTTTGGTGATGGTTATTAGGAGTTTGCTGGTTTTAGTTTTCTGAAACACTGCTTTATCTCGCAATCAGTAAAGCTCAGCAAATCTCACCCTGGGAGGATACGAAATCTCTGTAAGGCTTCAACCTCCAGGTGTCTTCCCAGAAGCAAGCAGCTTCTGACAGTGCCGGCAGTCAGTAGCCCAAGAGTTCTGGTTTGATATAGTGCTCTTGAGGCATTGGGGATTTCTTCTCATCTTAGCTGCTTTTTCTTTTTTCTTTTTTTTTTTTTTTTGTGTAACTTAAGCTGATGAATGCCTGAACACATCAGCTCTATAATCTCTGGTGCTTCAGTGTTTAAGACAGCAGGTAGGAAATTTCCCACTTGAAGCTGGTGACTGAAGGACCAGTTTCTTCCAGAAGGAGTGTTAGTCTACCGTAAGCAGTTTGAAAAGAAAGGGTTTGCAGAAATTTGCCTTTATATGTCATTTTTAAAGACAAGTGTGTTTCTTCAATGCCTCCAAGAGCACAGTTAAGTAGTAGAATCCAGGCAGCTGGGCTGCCTTCCAAGTACTGTGGTCTCTGAATGACCTTTTCCCGGTGTGCTGCAAAAGGGCTTTGCTTTATTTTTTTCCTTTTTTTGCACCCCGAGAGCAGCACACTTGAGTTAAGATGACAAAAAAAGAACAGGGCTCTCTTTGGCCAGCGTGCCTTCAAGCTTCAGTGATGCATGTTGAACAAATGGAGACGAGAGCTCCGTCCGTTGCGAAGGGATGATTTACCGTGTAGATGTGGAAGACCTGTGCAGTATTTTTTTTTCTTTTGTCCAAAAGTTTGTGCGATTCTAGTGTTGACCACTCAAAAGAAGTGAATGTCTGTTTCTTTTTTTTTCTCCTTTTTTTTTTTTTTTTATGGTGGCAATTGGCTACTGTATAATGTCTGTGAGCGTGTGTGTGTGACTGCAATTCATGCATGCAAGTCCTACTGGTAATATGAAAGCCTGCTGTAAGACTGCAAGAAAATTTACTGTAGCTTTGCTTTAATAAACGGTAGAGATTTTGTTAGTAACAACCTGAAGGAAAAAAAAACACAAACAAAGAGCTGAAATGTAACATTCCCTAGAGGTGCTCATGTGGAAGAGAGCACAGTTCACGCTATGTATCTTGTTCTCTTGTTCTTGGGTTTTCTCCCTGTCCCTTTTATAATTATGGTCGTCCAGATCATTACTGTTGGGGGTGGGGGGCATGGAAAACTGAACTCAAACATATTCAGATTTGATTGATTGAAAGCCAAAATCAGTTTTAAATAAGGTGAAAAACAAAATATAATGCCTTTTCTGATAACTTGCACGTGTAGATGTGTATCATTTTCTGAGTTAAGAACAAGATTTGTCTTTACTTTGTTGTTCTGTTTTGGAGGTGTGTAGCACTGTGCTGGATACAGGTGACAGAGCAAGACAAGTGGTGCTTATCACAGTATTTCACCCTCACATTTGGGGAAAGCAGTTACACCATACAAGTTTTAGGAGAAAACTCACAGCCTTCCTCTTCTGTGAGAATAGCTGATGAAGACAGCTTTTCAGTTTGTGTCTTAGGGAGGGTGCTCTTAAGAATGAAGGACTTAGATCTGGATTTGGGAGACCTTATTCCTGGAGCACGAGTGGAACCAGAGAGGCTCTGTGTGCCCTGGAGCTGGGGTGGCTCACTGTACTCCATGGCTGCCCAGGGACTGCTCTCTTCCAGCTGCGTTTGCTGACCATGTGTATCTTTTGAGAAAAGAATCAAAGATCCCTAGTGCCACCCCTAGGAACTCAGATTGCCACCTGACTTTCTTACTCACACCACAGAGGAAGCTAAAAAACCACATCAGTTCTTTGAGCAGTAGGGTTTTACTGCTGTAGAACCTGGAGATGGCCCCGTGCCAATGGGAGACCATGTTGGCATAAGACAAAAATCTGGTACGGGGAGGAGGAGTGGTGCAGGGCAGAGCAGTGGGTGGGTGAGCTCCTCAGAGACATCCTGGCTGGTGCCTCTTCAGGGGAAAAAATATAGGCAGGCAGAGGAACCCCAAAGCCCCAGCTCTGCAGCTTTAGAAAGCTGCTTGATCCTCACATATATCCTGTTGTAGAAAGGCATCATGGCCCAAACAGAGCTCAGAATTCTCCAAATGCATGCTGTGGCTGTAAAATGCTGGAGATGTGAGGGCACAGGCAGCTGTGCACCAGAGCACCAAAAATCACCCATTTGTGCCTGTAAGGGGCCAGTGTTTTATGGGAGTCATGAATACGTTGTTTCAAAACATTTGCAAACAAGGCAGCAAATTAGTGTCAGTCTATTCTTGTTTTTCTTTACAACATGCTTTAAATGTCAATGTCCATGAGTCTGGTTTTGCTGGAGTCCGTGGCAGTGCACTGCTGCTGACACGGCACGTTTTTGGCTGCTGGAGTTGGCTCTGAGGGTGAGGAGCCGGCGGGTGTCCTGGGGGCCTTGAGCTGTGTTGCCTGGGGACAGTGGGCAGGGGCTCAGCGAAGGGGTCCCCCAGGCACAACAGGGGTTCTTGGGACCAGTGGGTGCTGCAGCATCGGCTCGGTGTTCCCCTTTGGCTCTGACAATGCAAACCTTGCCCTTTAGGAACACCCATGTGATTTTTCTACCATGTATTGCCCTGCGTTTGTGCAACCCGGTGGATGGGTGTTGGCTGAGGATGGAGGAGGAGGGAATTGTGTGTCTTGATGCTTGCTGGCAGCCTTTGCCCAGAGCTCAGGCCTGCCTAACTGGAAGATAAGGAAAGTCGAGGTGCAGTTAAGCTTCTGCCTTCACGCGTAGTCATCAAAAACTTCCTGGGGCAGGAAACCTGAGCAAGCTTCCAGCACAGAAGCAGAATTAGCAGGCTCTGCTGAACACGTGAGGCTGTGCTGCTGGGCGATGGGAGTTCGAGCTCCTTGGGTGCCCTTTGCCACTCAGGGACATGTTCGCTTTTACAGCCCGGGCTCCCACAACTAAATATCCTCTTTTCCTCTGCACGTGCTGGCCAGGCTTATCCCGTGGTGACCCGCTCCCAGCGGACCTTGGCAGGGAGCCGGGGCACAGTCCCACTCCGGTGAATTGTCTCTCCCCAGACCTTCTGCCTTGTGGCCCTCACTGTGCAACACATGCCAGGGAGGTTCCCCCCTCCTTATTTTTTTGTTTATAGAGCGGGGGAAAAGCCTGGACCGGGCCTGAAGGTGCAGACAAGCCTCGCAGCATCCCACAGTGGGCAGCCTGGGAAGGCCAAGCAGGATGAGTTGCCTTTGTCAGAGCTGGTTCCCACCCCCATCCCTTGCAGCACAGACCTGTTTTTATCAGATGGGACCAATGCCCGTACCGGAGCCGACGTGGCGGTGGTGCAAGCGCTGCAGTCTCTGTGCTGGGGAGGGGGTATCACAGTCTGCCGGGTTGTTTCTTGATTTGTTTTTGACCGGCGAACAGCTGTGTCCCGAGGTTTGTGCTTACTCAGCTTGCCTGGCGTCGTGCCCTCTCCAGAGCCTGCAGGTATTTCAGGCATTGCCTGCTCCTCTGCTCCTGGCACGGCTCTCTGGCGCAGCCCGGGGCTGGCTGGTGCCTTGTGTGTAGCGAAGCCCCTCAAACTTGGAGGGCTCCTGAGCTGAGCCCCATAGTGCAGGTGGGTCAGCTGAGCACTGTGGGGTGGCTGTGTCCCCCAAAATGAGTGTGTGTGGTGGGAAGGCTGGGGCTTGCTCTACTCAATGCCCTTGGGTCCCGCCTCAGTGAACTGTGCCTCTGCTTCCTGGGTACCTGGGGTACAGTGTGGGAACAGCCAGGAATGAAGAAGCTTCATCCTTTCCACCACCACTGCTTCCTCTCTTGCAGAACCCCTCTGCCTCAGGGAAATGGAGATGCTGATTCCCAACCCTTTGAGCTGCCCTCTGAGCCCTTGAGTGCTGCTTGCCCCTGCCCTGATTCCCCTCCAGCAAAGACCCCGAGCACCCCCAGAGGGCAGGGACTCAGTGCAGCCCA